GTGTGTGTGTCTGTGTGTGTGATTATAGAAATAATGTCAGTGTTGCTAAGAAACAGAAACATTTTCCAAAACCTTAAGCCCTTATCTCTCATTTCCTGTTGAACCAGGAAGTTGTTTTACTATGTGGGAGGGGCTTAAGGTCAAAGGCCAACAACCCCAAGGACAGCTAATATCGCACCTCCCTCTTCCCTGAACACACACACACACACTCGAACAATGCATTTTCCTCAGAGCACAGTTTGTTCTCACAGCCAGCCAAACATTCGGCCTGATTAGGACCTTATGTAACGCACACACACACACACACAATGATTTTAGTATGTGTACCTATGTTTTGGAGAGGGGGCGGGGTTATCAATACAACAGTAAGCGGGGGGGGGTGTTCCTTCCTTCCTTCCGGCCAATCAAGTGTAAGGAATGCTCACCTAGAGCCGCTGTCAATCAAACTGCTTCCTGTGTTCAAGTTTCTATGTGGAGAGGACTGTGGTCAGGACCAGGTCCAGTTTGAGTCCAGGAGGGGCTTGAAACCAAGTCTATCAAAGTCTAAAAGAGGCTGGAGAGCAAGTCTAAAAACAGATCAGGATAATGTCAAGATCGAGTTTAAAACAGGCGTGAAACCAAATCAAAAATGAGTTTAACAGAGACTTGAGACCAAGTTTAAAATTAGGTCAAGATCGAGTCAAAACCAAGTCTTAAAGGGACTCGAGTCTCACCCAGCTTAAAGTCTGAAGAGCTTAAAACCAAATCAAAGACAAAGTCGAAAAGCAGATCATGACTGAGTTTTAAACAGGCATGAAACCACGTCAAGCCTGAGTTTTTAAAGAGACTCGAGACCAGGTCTAAAAGACGGTCAAGATCAATCCAACTCTGATACTAAAAGAGCTTGAAACTAGATCAAGACAGAGCTTAAAGAAGGTCGGGATGAAGTCCAGGATGAGTCTCAAACCGTCCTGAGACAAAGTAAAGACTAGAACAAGTCTAAAAGCAGGTCTGGATCAAATCAAGACTAAATAGAGGTTAAAGGTAAGTGCCCACAACAGCCCAAATGTAAAGATCTAAACCTTTCTTGTCCTTTGTGTCCTCGCCTCCTCTCCTCGCCGTGTGTCCTAGACCCTCACTCCAGAGTGATCCTGAAGTCGAAGAACTGCAACGACCTGCTGAGCTCCTACATCAATGCTAACTACATACGGGTGAGTAGTAGCAGCTGTTCAGAAGGTCACTTTCTGACTTGGAAAAGTCAGAATATAAAATATCTTTTATATGTTAAATAATGGTTTGTAAAGTAACTCGTAAGCATCAAATATTTGTAGTGGAGTAAAAAGTACAATATTTTTAAATTTGAGTAAACGATGGATGCTACAGCCAACCAGACTCCATTGACAAAAACAGTAATTTTATATATTTTATATATTTAGATAGGTCATAAAACACTTCAAACTGGGCAGAAACAACATAAAACTCATTAAAACCGTCTCTGTTAGTGTTT